TGAAAGATGTTCAAATGAATATTTGGTCTTTAATTAATATAAGCAAATCTCAATCAGGATGATTGGAAAAGTTGTGGTTACAGTAAACCACAAATTCTTCTGCCACTTAATGTTATTAGTCTTCCATTGAAGTAGTACTTACCAAAACCATGTGGGCTATTAGATTGCCCCCAAGAGCACCAAAAGTGTAATATACAAGGGCCTATGAAAGAACAAAAAGATGTTTAAATGAACATAGTCACATATTTATTTAATTCAAATTATAATACACAATAAAATTTTAATAGTATTACCTTTGCTTGACTTGAATTAACACCAAGTCCAGAGGCATAGAGAAAGCCAAGAGCCTGAAATAGAACAGTAAAAGTAAGAATTCTTCCTTTGGTCAGTTTATCTGAGACAGACGCAGCTTTACACACTATGAAAAGATGCAAGAGTCTTAAATGCCAACAGATTTGAATGCAAGTACGCACAACTGTGGAATTAAAGCGCCTTAGAAATGCATTCAGGGGTTTACAAATTACACATTACTTTAAACAAGTCAAAAAGCTTAGCATAAAGATCAAAGACAATTCCATAAAATAGTAACCAGAAAAACAAAGCTGAACACACTTAAATGTGACTTTTACTTCCTTTTTATGAACAGTCTTATGAAGATAATATGACCCCCAATCAGTACATCAAAGTATTTCTCTATGTATGCAGAGTGGGATACACTATGAACAAGGGTAATTGATTACCAAGGTAAACTATCACACGTATAAGAGGCAGCAATGGGTTAAGCTGAAGGGGTCAAGGGAAAAAGGTCAGTTTGCAAAGCTAGAGCACACAGAGTTTTCTAAACAAACACCGCCGAACAGGCGATACAGTGGTTAAGGTTCTACCTTTTGCCGTCTGTGAATCGTCCCTGATGACATGAAAAGTACAAGCTAAAGTTACAAAGGCAAATGTGGCAGGGACAGCTAGTACTTAAGAAAATCCATGAGCTCCTCCCCAGTCTGCCATGAAGGTAGGTAGGATCTTATGCCTGGGCCGTGCCTAGAAGGGATATAAGCCTTTTACAGGCTTAGCCCATAAAAACATCCCAGAGAATTCTCTAGCTCTCTCTTTTCCCTTCATGAGAACTTGGAAGCTCTGTGTTCCAGACAATGTAGCTACATGACAGAAGCAAACTGTGACCAGGAGTCACCACTCAGAAGAGAGTGATGCAAACGGCAGAGCTGCATCAAACTTGGCATGAGCAAGACAGGACTCTTTGTAGCGTTAAGCCACTGTGATTTGGGGGCTTTGTCTACTGTATCACCTAGAATTAATTTCCATGGAGAGAGTGCTTTGCAATGTATAAAGGACTATGGCATTGTGGGCCTCTCATATAGGAGGGAAATGATGCTTTATAAAGTAAAATCATTCTTCAGGGCAGAATGCCTCTGAAGATAAAGAATATAGGTGTAAATTTTAAATAGACTGATTGATTCAAAGAATGGGGAAAAAAGGGAGCAATTACAATATAATCCGCTTATAAACAAAAACTGAACGTATGAAAGAGCTACAGACATTGGGTATTATTCTATAGAAAAAATAATGGTTATGGGCTGGGCAAGGTGGCTCACGCCTATAATCCTAGGATTC